TCGAGATCAAAGAATATCGATATTGCATGTTGTTTATTTACTATAGCATTTTTAACAAAGGATTCTAAACAACTTTTCCTGAAACTACACTGAATATCTGTTATAAGGTTATTGGTTTCAAGACACCAAGTTAATCTATTTTCACCATTCGTTCCATGGTTTTACAGGCACAACTCGTTAAAGAGTTTGGCCTGTAATTAGACGGGTCAGTATGATCCCGGCCAGGTTTTGGTATTGGGATTACAATGGCACTACGACACGAAGGAGGAAAATTTCAAGACGTCCATATTTCGTCAAATATATCTAAAAGTGTCACCAGACATGGTTCAGGCAAGTGTTTCATTAGCTGGTAATGTATATTGACATTACCCGCTGCTGTGTCATGAGCTTGCTCAAGAGCTGTATATAACTTTAAAATTATTAATTTTTCCACACAAATTGTTTGAAGCAAAAACCAGTTGGCCTTGGAAGATTCCACCGTGAGGAAGGTGGAACATCACCCTGTTTGATAGCGTTTAGGATAGTAGGGAAGTGATCACTTTCCACAAAAGTCATCATGAAAAGACTATTCAAATTCGTTGTAAACATTCGAATCTGCAAGGGACAGATCAAGGGAAGAATAGGTTCCGGTAGCAGGGTGTAAATAGGTGCTTGATTCATCATTAAACACACAGAAATCATTATCAGAAATAAAATCCTCAATTACCTTGCATTTATTGCTTGTAATTCCCCATAGAGGGCTGTGCGCGTTCAAATCGCCCATGAGAATGCAGGGCTTAGGTAGCTGAACATACAGAATCTGAAGATCAGTTTGTCGAAGAGCAGATGACGGTGGAATGTACAAAGAGCACAAAGTAAACGTAATGTGCAAAGTAAGCCGCTTTAAGATTGGTATTTAGATGGACACCACTATGAATGATATTCTGTCTTACTAATATAGTAGATCCTCAAGTCGCTTTATCCCCATGAGGAGAAAATGAACAATAACATTTGTACTGCCTTAAATCAAATGTATAACTGTGTTTAAGATAGGTCTCCTGTAGACAGAATGCCAACCGTTTAAAATCCTTAACTAACAATTGGATTTCATTAAAATTATTTCTAAGTCCTCTACAGTTCCACTGTATTATATTTTGCGAATGATTCATGATCTGGGAGCATTTATTGGCGATCTCCCACACCTCGGCTTTGTATTCGATAAACTCCCCGTCCGATGATGTATGTGTTCAGATACATCCATATCTTCGAGGGATCCAAACTTAATATATAGCTGGATCTCATCTTTTGAACCCTCAGCAAATCTACTGAGGCTGTAGTCGGAGATGGTCTTTTGGTAATTGAAGCATAAGACTCACTTTGATTGAAGGATGGTACGAGTTTCTTCTCATCATCATAGCTAATGTTTTGAGTATGCTTAAATTTATTTACCTCCATTTCCCTCTTCCATACTGGGTAATAAAGAATGCTTGCCAGAACAGTTGACACATATTTTATAGTTGCTTTCATAGTCTTCTGTCACGTGTGATTGGTCGCCACAAGTTATAGGATTTAAGCAAGAATTGACTCCGTGACCAAATGTGTGACATTTAAAGCACCTCAACGGATTTGGGATGTACAGTTCAACTGGCAGATTACAATACCATGCTTTGATTGAGTTTGGTGCAGTTGGAGATACAAATGAGAACAGGTATGTATTCGTTGGTATTACTTCAGAGTTCTGACGTCGAGTAAATAGTTTTACATACGTGACACCTTGATCTTTAAGTTCTAGCATGATGTCAAGTTCTGTCATGTCCTCTATCCTAACAATACCTGTACTTGAAATGAGGGTCCTGTGGAAAGACACTGTAACAGGAGATCCAGCTAACGTATTGGTTGAAAGCAGGTTGGTTGCTTGTTGTCGTTTGCTACATTCTATGAGCAACGATCCAGAACTCATTCTGTTGATATTTTTGGCATCTCCTGCTCTACCATACACTGCTTTAGACATAATAAACGGGTTCATTACCAGGAATCGTGACCAGCAGTCTATTTGTTTGGATGGCCTACAACTGTCAGTTGTACCCGGGTCATTATCAAGTTGACGTTTTTTCTTCATGGGGGTTTCAAGTTTCATGTTGAGGTGTATAGTTTCACCATCCCAGCTCCCCACCCACCACGGAGTGTCATACAGGCAATGCTAAAACCCCGACTTGCAGCACCAAGGATACAGGGATAATGTACTCAAGCAGAATAATCATAAGTAATTACTCCACCAGAGTGCTCCATGAGCCACCGCCTACTGGGCATAAGACTCTAGGCAAATTACAAAACTGGAGTTGCTCATTTGTAATTCAAATATATAATCATTCAGCTAAGACATATGTGAAAAACGAGCTATTAGCTTTACCCAGGACCCACCACGAGGAGGTTGCTCTTCAAGGGTGCCGCAACTAGGGTAAAACAACCTTGACAAAACGCCAAACAAACGTGGCCGAACGTGACAAAACTTGAAAGGACTGTGAGATGCCGGGAAATACACATGCCTCCCGTCCCACTACAGACCGTCTACATGTTTGTTACGGCCTATTACGTGCTGTCACGTTTTGTTGCGTTCCCCCCGTTTTACTACGGCATACTAGGTTTCTCATTAGTACCGTGACTGCCGTGGCAAATTTTTTAACAGTTTAAAAATCCACGGCAATCATTGACTGTCACGTTTGCTCATTCAGTCCCCGCACGTTGTCTCACGTCCATCCCGTTTTGTCCCCGTTTCGGCGAAACGGGGCTGCCGTGGCCGCCGGGAACATAGTGTAACCCCGGCTTTAGGGACGGTTATGAGCCAGCGTTAAACGTAGTACAACAATGTTTTACTTGTTATACATTGCACCTGTAGAGTCAGTGAGGGTCGGAATGTTTAAACTTGTGCTACAACCCTATAACTATTTCCCTATAGCTCTGAGAACAGTGTAGAATGATCTTAAAAATTGTCTAGAATCGTTTGAGATAAAATAGCCTTCAGGACTAACTGGAATTTTGAAATCTGCTTCACCCCCAAATCATCTCACGTCCTTCTCACTAAATTTCTTCATTTACTGGGACATGTTTGAGTGTTGTTTAAAGCCGCACTCAGCAATAATTCAGCTATATGGCGGTGTTGGACATGTCGACAGAATAGATATTATTGTTTCGTTAAAAAACATTTTACACAAAAAGTAGTCCTATTCGTGTATATGGTGCTGAGGTGTGGCGATTTCAATCCTTAGACTTTTGACAAAGTTCACTATTTGTTACGAGGGAGGGGTGCAAAGAGCGGAACAGCCAGGTGTGCGAGAAAGGATGGAGACCGTACAGCACAGGTAAATGAATCAATAACTTTGTCGGCACTTGTGCACCTGGGTGTTACTCTCTTTACAGTCCTCCCTCGTAACAAATAGTGAACTTTGTCAAAATTTTAATGATAGTTTCTTAAACAACTTTTTTATTATTTTAGGACATAAATTCTGCAAAAATATCAGAGTTGGTCTGATGTTTTGATTATGATCAGTGTTTCATTGAGTATTATATGTTTAGTAGTTTTCGAGTTAGATTGCAATTCATCGGTCCGCTTTTGAGCCAAACGGACTATAGTTTGTTGATGTTTTCAGGACTGTCGTCTGATAGCCGATGGATGATGGCCAACATTTCTTGCAATAGTCCTCAATGACATGCCAGCATTCCGCATACCAATAACTTACCATCCTTGAGCAGTTGTCCAAGTTATCGAGCTATAAGAACAGTTCACTTAAACTTGACATTTGTTTAACCACGGATACACGTATTTAGCCGCCTTTAGCACATATACATATGAACAATCAATGGCGCGACCAAAGGGAAACTAATACTACAAAGGGGATTTGGGGATTAAAATTCACAGTAGAAAAAGGCTGTAGTGGGATTGGAGTAATATATGCTCTGTAAACAGCATTGTGAATCACTTATGACAAGGATCATCTCAGTTTACGGGCTTTTCGGAATGACAAAGATGAAGGTCAAGGTTGTAATTGGTAGATTGTAATCGGTGGGATACCACGTTGCTGAACGGTGTTTGACATTCTTCATTCGCGGAGCCATAAAAACCATATTTATATTTCATGCATAAAATTAAATATGTTTAAATCTCAATGCAATCCTAAACAGGATCAGTGGGTTAGTGAGTGAGCGAGTTTTTGCTGCGCCATGCAATATGCCATATACATAACCAGAACTGGTCTGAACATACAGAACAAAATAGGTACTGATTGAAGTATAAGTGAGTGAGTGAGTTTAATTTTACGCCGCATTCAGCAATATTCCAGCTATATGGCGGTGGTCTGTAAATAAACGAATCTGAACCAGTGATCAACATCATGAGCATTGTTCTACACAATTGGGATACGATGACATGTGTGAACCAAGTCAGCGAGCCTGACCACCCGATCCCGTTAGTCACCTGTTCCGGCAAGCACGGGTTACTGAAGATCAATTCTAACCCGTATCTTCACGGGTTGAAGTATAAGTATAGTAGAGTACTAGATCGAAGTATCTGGTATAAACTAAACAGTTTTACTATTTCAGCTATCACAATCTTGCAGCGTTACATTTCCACCAAAGGAAAGACAAAGAGCTAGGAGAACAAAGCGCAAGCTGACAGAATGAACATGGACGGGCCACACAACGCCCAAATATTTTTCAGAGAATGGAACTAATATCGAAAATGAGATGTTTAAAAGAACATCAACTATATTTCATTATTTACGCTTATTATTGACTAAAAATATGTAATTATATGAAATCGATAGTTTTTGATTGAAGCTATGGCCAGGTCGACATCCACAGGAATCAGAATTGTGAGTGATCTGAAGTCCGAACCATACAGAGGACTAGAGATACACATGTATGTGCATACTGTACACAGGAACACAATTCGGTATCTTTCAGGTGAAACATTCATTTCATATGCGCCAAGAAGCAACCCCAGTTTTGATACCGTCTGGGTCTATTTAAGACTGTGCGACGTGGACATCGGGTTTCTCTGTATCTTCAGCTGCTTCAGGCTGGGTCGGTGATGCATCGGAATCAGGGTTCGTCTTACCGACATCATATTTAAGAAAAAGAAAAGCTGCAAGGAAAACAGTTGACGACAGCAGAGAAAGTCCCGTGTCCATCCCTTTCACACGATACCGTAGGCTTGGGAGATCATACACTGCACATGCGCCGACCTCGCCACATGTTGTTTCCCAGAGAGTGCACGTGGTGTCAATGACCTTTCCATAAACGATAGGTGATGGAAGGTAACCTACGGAAGAAGGATTCATTATGAGAACGTAAAATCATAACGAAAACACTTTACTATATATATTGCCATTTTGCATCAATGCAGTGGAGCTGGCGGAGCCAAACTAAATATCGATCGATTATCGATAAATATCGGGGACTTAACGTTGAGCAAAATTTCCAAATATAACATGACTCTTGAGTTGTGACATGGTTTGCAGGGACTACTAGTGAGTGAGTGAGTGAGTTGTGGCATGTTTTGCAGGGACTACTAGTGAGTGAGTGAGTGAGTTGTGGCATGTTTTGCAGGGACTACTAACAAAACAGCGTCTTGAACATATTTTAGAAGCAGACCATGATCAAATTCTAAATTTGTATGTCTGTGTGAGAAACTTTCTGTCACAAAAGTTATTGTAAGATCGATATTATCGATAACACACTTTTCATATCGTGAGTGAGTGAGTGAGTTTAGTATTACGCCGCACTCAGCAATATTCCAGCTATATGGCGGCGGTCTGTAAATAATCGGGTCTGAACCAGATAATCCAGTGATGAGCAGCATGAGCATCGATCTTCGCAAATGGGAACCGATGACATGTGTCAACCAAGTCAGCGCGCCTGACCACCCGACCCCGTTAGTCGCCTGTTACGACAAGCATGGGTTACTGAAGATGAAACTTCTAACCCGGACCTTCACAGGTCACTTTTCATATCGATAATCATTTTTTTCTCATCGACTTTATTTCCGATTATATATCATTTTAGCCGGCCCTGCAATGTAAACCCGATGTGGATGTAAAGAGTTACTTTGTTCAACGTCCCTCAGTAAAGACACATCATGGTTGAAAATGAATAAAATTACTAATTTAGATGGATATTACACAAAACAGACTCGGAACTGTTATTGTTTACTCAAGAAGATATGGTTACTAAGTGGATAATTCGACAGCGGATGATACCTTCCTAAGTAGATTATGATATCATATACGTAAAGTTACCTGTAGTCTACGGGTATGTAAAGATCATACAAGTAGATTTTTTTCTAGACTGAGGCATTAATCTGGTTCCTTAGTTTCTATAAAATATGATGGTAGTCATAAGAGAAACCATAATGGCAACCCGTGAAGATCCTGGTTTGAATTGGTTTCAGCATACCAGGCTTGTTGTAAAAGACGATTAACGGGATTGCGTGGTCAGGCGCCCTGACCTGGTTGACACATGTCATCGTATCCCAATTATGTCGATCGATGCTCATCACTGGATTGTCTGGCCAAGCCTCGATTATATAGAGACTGCCGCCATAAAGCTGGAATATTGCTAAGTGTTGCGTTAAACAACAAATCAACACAATAAGCGGCCGCCGCATGCTATTCCTTTACTTACCGACAACACTGTCTAAGAAAGCCGTTAAAGCGACAGCCATGGATTTATCCCTCGGATGCACAGTCCTTTATTAGAACAAAAACGAATCAGTCAATATATAATAAAAATATACATATACATGACCAATTCTAAAGTATGTAAGGGAAACGAAACCATCCATCTGCCCTTGCCTTAATGTTGATAAAATGCCTTGTAATAAATGTACGTCACAATAAAATAGACCAAGAAATCTGAAAAGCATGCGTTCATGAAATCCTGCCAAAGAGAGATGATAACAGCTGTTCTCGATAAGGTGACGTATCCTATGTCGTACTTTTCATAAATTACATTTTCCATTACTTACTATAATATATATATGTTCGTTTTTTAATTCCCTACGTCTTGTTTTTTCAACTGAATCTGATAAGTTGTTACCGGCATCAGTATAAAATAACAAGAATCAACTGGTTTGTCGACCACACCAAACTTTCGACCCTCCACAGAATCAATGCCACATCAAAATCTGACGTTACACAAAATGTTAATGCGAAGGAAGTCTGATCGGCCTTTTGGGGTATCTAGAAGTCGTTTTAGGTTGCTGTCTAGTAAACACTGATAAACGTTATGACTGTATGAACTATATCTGTACACAATATACACAGTTCCGTAAAAACATAACAAGGATTCATGATAAGTCGTTTGAATAAACGAATATAACAGATTTAGGAAAATATATTCAATTTGTAATTCCAAATAGTGATGCTATTTTGCAATACACGTTAACAGATTAGGCACACTGCAGAATCACTGTTTACATAATTTTGTCACCACTAGTTTCCTTTTCTGGCAGATTGACCCGATGTACATAAATACTGACAGTTCATTAGGTCCTATATTCGGGGAGTGTGACCAGGGATTTGTATCTGAATTTAGGATTACAAAAGTAACGCTTTTTGTCAAACATATTTTAAAATACGATTTGATCAAAATTGGGATTTTTTAAAGTTCTAACTTTCTTAATTTCTGTGTTATTAAGGGCATTACGTTGAAAAAAGGTATTATTTCAACAATCGAATGGTCAGCTTTGGTGTTATGTCGAGCAATTTTCCTAAAACTTAGCCTTTGGTGTTCACATTTCACAACTTTTGAGATACAATAGAGCCTTATCTTTTTACCAAGCTTTGAAAGAGCTCACAGGACTTATGCTCAATAGTTGTTTGCTCAAAGTTAAGATTTTTAAGGTCTCATTAAACCTTCCAAAACGTTTTCTCTGTTCTAATTCCCTATTTTGATCTGTTTCGTATATTTGCATGCGTTAATGGAGAGTGCCAGCAATGGGGCCGGATCCACAGATTTCAGTGTGACGAAAATCCTTAGAGCAGGTCCAGATACTCGAATAAAATAACATATATTTTATGATTCATTTATCATGTAAAGAAGCAAACAATATTGACGAGAGGGGACATAATGTACTATTTTGTCGATATTCTTTTCATGACTAAAGCTAACTTTATTCCTGGCGAATATTTCAGAGTGCAACAGATATAACGTATGCAATGTTGTAACTGTTGAAACCTGTGTAAAGATATACACGTTATATACTGCTCGTTTACGCTTAGCATATTTCACCGACTTTTACTTGTCCATACATATGATTTTCACAGCTATTGTGCCCTTCACACCACATGAATCCGTTCCTGGGGATCGTCAAAACTGGGTATTTCTTTTAACTGACGTTTTATACTTAGGGTTTCATTAAATTAATAGAAAGATAAAGACAAATGTTTATTAACCTGCCACGAACGTATAATAAATAAATCATTGGCAGATCCAGCCCAAACTGGCATGCATGGCTTGAGGGGCTGAGCTTCTCGCTGTCTGCTAGTTTTACTCACTCCTAGACCCATACCTAAGACATTCACATCTATTGATACAATTCGAAAACAAAAATATACCCTTCTCTCTTCATATTGTGTTTGTAAAAACACTTTTTCTTCTTTTTACAGAATTAGATTTGTTGACTGATCTGTAAATAATATTTATTATTTGTAGTTTAGATTAGTAACTCAGATTGTTAGTGGCTGTACCCTCAAAGGGGGTTGAAGTATTGTAAAATTATTGTCCTCCTGAGAGGGTACGTAAGTCCCAAAACATTCAAAGGAAATTTGAATTTACCAGCCTTTTAAATGTAGTATTTTTGTCATTTTAATTTTGGCTAGGTTTGACTACAATCACCAATGGCTGAAGAGTTGATATAGATCCAGCTTGGGTCCATGTAGGTAGCAAAGGTACTGTAAGTCCCCATGGACCCTAGTGTGGTGTTCTACCTTCAGTTTAGGCGATCTATAGCCCGTGTTTTATATTGTACTGTCTTCTTCATTTAAAATGTTTTAGATTTACATTCTAGTTTTATATTAATATCTGTGATACTCTAGGATTTTTACTGTCCATCGTTGACAGGTTTAACTCTTCACAATGTTTTCATTTTTATATTGTATAAATTGTTCTCGTCACGATATGGTTGAAATATTGCCGATGTGACGTTAAATATTAACTCACTCAATTTGACAAAAGGACGAGTAAATATATATTCTTGGCCGAAATCATCTTCCGTACGACCAAGTACCCCCGTCCGTTTAACCAGAGTGATTGGTCCCCTCCCAAATGGGGAGTGCCTAAAACTCAGGCCAAGACAAATCGGCCACCGGGTACTACTAAAAAATGGAATGCAGAATATTAAAACGAAACCTGCGCGAGGCGAGCACAGAAGCTGGGCGAATTTTGTTTATCGGAAGTTATGTATATAGTCATAAATATATATTTAAAACTCCCGCATACTGGTATGAATTAGACGTGGTATGATAGAGTCCAATGTGTGGTAATTGAAAACACCTACTTCATTAAGGTGATGATGATAGGGACTATAGAAACTGTCGCCACTAGGCCGGCCACCAGGTCAACGACGATGTAAGGATAAAGGTAGGGGCAGTCTGCCGGACACCTGCCCTCTGTGCCCTCGTCACCAGGAATCTCGCTGCATCCAGTGTATGTCTGGAATATGATCGGCATACAATACAGTGAGTGAGTGAGTGAGTAAATAGTTTAGGTCACATCGGCAATATACATATATATATTATATATATTATCTTAATGATGACTTTCTGTCGTCACAATACGGCTGACCTATTGCCGATGTGACGTAAACTGTTTACTCACTCACTCATATAGTTACTTTATAAAATGCTGTCATCGAAAGACAGTACAACTACTAGATTATCTAAGATGTTATTAAAACTAATTTGTGAAGATAAAACATTACACTATTCACTGACGGTATAAAGTGGGCTAGAGATCGCGAGCAACTAAAGTGAGGTCACCACACAAGTAATCGTGGGGACTTACAATATTTCTGCTCCCTGCACGGCTTTCCAGCAGGATTTCTACCATCCCTTCAACTGCTAGCGATTGCATGCATGGTTAGCCATATATCTAAGATCTACAAAGACACTTCGATTAAAAACGATGATAGATATGGGTATTCTTTGAATGATGTGGACTTATATACCCTCTCAGGGGGACAATAATGTTACAGTACCTCAGTCGCCCCTGAAGAGTACAACCACAAAAATTTTATACTATTTATTTTTATACTAAACAGCGTTACTAGCAATATGTTGCCTTGTGGTACACCCTGATCTTGATCGTGAAAGTCAGACAAGGTGGATCGTACACGAACCTTGAAATACCTGTTTGCTAACAATTGTGATATAAAATTAAACAGGATTTGGGAAGTTGATCAAGAGAGACCTGAGAGCAGTTTGCTGAAGTGCCGATAAAGGCGGAATATATAGCGAGAATAATGCAAAAGCAACGTTAAGAGTAAGTCGTACTGTCATAGCCTGCAGATTAGTTTTAAGAGTAACCGGGCTGTGGATGACGTCATAACAAGGATAGAAGATCCTCCAGCGGCCCTATTCCCCGGAGGAGAAAAATTAATGATAATCTTTGAACGGAACTTCTCTCTCTCTTTCAGATACGTTTCCTGCAGACAGAATGTTGACAGTGTAAGATCCTGTACTAATATATGTAATTCATTGAAAATAGTCCTGTTGATATTATTAGAAGAAACTTTTGGGCAGATTAATAGGGGACCTACCCTTCACTTTCTTCCTACAAGGACGACAAACTATGTGCTCCATGGTGTATGTTATCTGACACATCCATATCCTCAAGTGAACCATCATACCAATAATTGAACGCGATTTTCTGAACCTTTTGAGTGATCTCCACTTTTTTGTCACAACGTTTTCCGAAATTGTTTCAGATCTAGTTTCTTCAGCGGATTTAGATGAATGTTCTTCAGATGAAGATGAATCCTGACTAGATGCCTGTGTCTGAGCTGTAGAGAGTATCTGGGCGCCTAAACATAATTCTGAAGTTTTGAATACAACGTCCGGGTGTGACGATTGGATGGTTGGTACTTTTTACCCCAGTCAAGCCACATACCCTCGTGTCTTTGCGAGGATTAAAGATTTAAAAAATAATATATATAAATTTGAGATGTCCCCCGACTCGAAATGCTGCACAGTACCCCAGTACCCCAGTTTTGCCGATCGCTACGGTAAAATCGCATGCAATTGATTAAAAATTAATGTAAACATAATCATGGATCATTGGCTTATCGATCACCATTCATGACACCTACCAATTCTTTATTGTTATTTCTGTAATTCGATTGAAACCCGATTTTGATTCTCAACTAAACGATCTTGACACAAATGGATGACGATATATCCGCAGAAAACGGGGGTGTGGTCGACGCAAGCCCTCTGGTTGGTTGATGCTTGCTCAGAAGACATTTACAACTGATGCTGTCTTTTGAGAAGTCATTGCTGGAAAAAAGAATTCTTACATTTCCAAGTCAAGCAGTCGATGAAAGTTAAAATCCCCGTGAAGAATGTGCAGATTTTACAAGCGTTGCCCAATCACAGGGCTTGCTTCGGGTAGGCCAATCATCCATCATGATGTTTACATCAAGTTTTAATCGACAGCATGCGATGCTAGTGTAGCGATCGGCAAAGCAGGCCGGTGGGGTACACCGAAGTGTCCGGCCTTGTCATTATGTATTATACTGTGAAGCATTTCGAGTCGTGGATCATCTCAAAATCAATATTGTTTTAATCATTAATCCTCGCAAAGACACGAGGGCCTGGAGTCAAGCCTGTTTGGCAGTTTACTGACGAAGTGGATATATGGATATACCTTTGGCATGATATCAGAGGGTTTCCTGACGACGGATGCATGTTCGGCACTATATATTCATTTTTTCTGCATTTGCTAATGTTTTGTGTGATTTTAATTCTGTTAATTTCCATTTGTTTTTCAACATTTTACAGTCTTTAGAAAAGGAAGAATAGCTACCGGAACAGTTTGTGCAATTGTTAAAGTTGCTGTCACAGTCTTCTGTGACATGGGACGTATCACCAGAGTAATCATATGTTTTTGGCAAGTTGGCACAATGATCGTATTCTTTTCATCTATAACACCTTAAAGGATACGAATATAGATGTTGACTGAGCGAGTTGGGTTTAATTCCGCTTTTAACAATATCCCAGCAATATCACGGCGGGAGACACCAGAAATAGACTTCAAATTTTGTATTCATGTGGGGAATCGAACCCTTCCCTCCAGCGTGACGAGCGAACGCTTTAACCACTAGGCTACCCCACCGCCCTCAATATACATGTCGACTGCAATATTGCATTAACCTGCCTTGATCGACTTTGGGGGATTCGGGGAAGAGAATGAAAAATGATTAGGGTGTTAGTTTGAACAGTTTCGTTGTTTCGTGGTGAAGTTTTTGACATATGTAACTCCTTGGTCTTTCATTTTAGATACAATATCTAGTTCTGTCATATCAGTCAACAAGCATTTCATGTCTCAGACTATGCCCTTGCCGGTACTGAGCGTTCAGTGAGACTGAAACAAGGATGCCCACAAATGTTTAAGGTGACATGAGGTTTGACGCTTGTTGTCTCTTGTTACATTCGAGTAGCAGTGCACCTGAACGTGAGCGCAAAAGCAGCTCTTACCAAATCTCTTGACACCACTTCTGATGCCCTACACTGACTATAAACCCTTTATTAGATCTTACATCTGTAATCTGATGCAAAAGAAGTGGGACATACAAGTAGGTATCAATAGATTACATCAAATTAAACAAACTATCGGTTATACCTACTTGGGTTGTCAGTCCAGGTTTGAGGAGGTCGTCTTACGACGATGTCGTATTGGCCATTCACGTTATACGCATGAATATTTGTTGAAAGGTGAAGATCCTCCATTTCGTATCCTTTTTGATGAAAGAATTACAGTCAAGCATGTCCTGCTTGATTGTGTGGATTTTTCCATCAAAAGGGATAAATATTTCTATAAAGGATCTTTTTAGCATAAATTCTCGTTTAGCTTTTACAAGAAATTGATATGCTTCACAAATTTTGATTTATATGTGTTGTATATACATGTAATAACTTATTTAATGTATGGTCGAATACATTGATAAGTGAGATTGTGTGTTGATGTACCCTCAAAAGGGTTAAAGTTGTGTAAAGTATTTGTCCCCCTGAGAGGGTACGTAAAACCACGTCATTCAAAGTCTATTTAATCGCACTATGTTTTTAAATCGCAGAATATGTGTTCGTTTAATCCATGGCTAATTTGCTCAAAATCGCTAACATCTGAAGGGATGGAATAAATCCAGCTCGAGACCATGCAGGTAGCAAAAGTACTTTAAGTCCCCATGGTCTCTAGTATGGTGATCTACCTTCTGTTGTTGGCGATCTATAGCCCATTTTTATATTGCATTCTTGCATGTTTAAAAATTGTTTATGATAAATTGCTAGTTTTAGGTCTTAATCTGATATTTCAAGTGGGCGTAACTTCAGAGGCGTTTTATTAGGAGTCTCCAACACCAAGACACGTGACCAGTTATCGATAGAGTTCGAAGGTCGCTGTTCATCGTCGTTGTCAAGTGGACGTTAATATATTAGGGGGTTTGGGATTCCGTGGTTGTTTGTTATGGTCCATCATCCGAGCACCCCACCCACCATGGAGTATCACAAAGACAATGCTAATAACAAGAGGATGTCCAACTTGCAACTCCTGGAATACCCGGGGGTACCTGGATGATGATTAATTATTCTACTAGATTTGCCCACGAGCCACCGCCTTCTGGGCACAGGACTCTTGGCAAATTACAAAATTAGGAAATACAATTTGGCCAAGATATTTGACAAAACATTTTAAACGTTGATGTAATTTGTGCAACACAATAACACACAAGGCGTGGCATGGCCAGCTGAGTCCATTCTAACACCAGTCTGGGGCATACAATACAGACGTAAAATGCTTAGAAATAGTATCATTAAAGTATATATCTGGTTTGAGTGAACACGGAAATTACCAATACTGCCATTCCATGAGCATTCCTTGAGATACCCTAAGTGCTATTCTGTGACTGGCATCCTGACATACATGGTGACTAGTAAGGGAAGAGGTACTTACTGTGTAATTCTGTGACTGACATCCTGCAATACAGGGATTGATATACGTCACCCCGTCAACTCCACACAGAGGCATGAACTCAGTTGCATCACAGATGCAAGGAGTACCGTTGACCATGGAAGACCTGAAATTTACAATCAATGCCAATGTCAATCTCTCATAGAAAATAGTGTAAGGCTCCTACCTAGATGGTGTGAAGTTTTTCTGTTTGTGTACCGAGACGACAAAACAATGGTCAACATGTTTAATGCAGACGTATTTGAATTATACCTTTCAACGAAAGAAAAAAAATACACCTAATTGTTGTGTGTGTAATTCACTACAACCGTAACTACGTGTAATACGTTGTTGCAAATGACACTTGTGCCAACGAAACAACTGATAGCCTAGTTAAACTGACAGTTTCACCCCGAGACATCACTCATGGTCTGGTGATATCAGCCAACCCAGGTTGTGTGAATATATACTTTGTCTTTTCGTTAAACCATATGACTATAACCATACATGTTCGGTTGTAGGCAGCACTCCTCAACTGTAATTTTCTTGGTGCCGTTGTACAAAGCGATCTGAGCGCTAAGGTGGCCGTAACTCCCATACCTTAACATAGACTTGAGGTAGTCTTAGTGCTAAGGTTGTTTTGTACAACGGCACCCTGGACCCGGTTGTATCAAACTTTAATGAAGCATTAACGTGCCATTGAACGTACATTCTAAGATGCCTAGCGGTTAGAACAATCGAAAAAAAAATACATTATCAGACAATAAAGGTATAGTTTTTTGATGACGTAACAATTGAATGACGTTATCCCGTCACTGCGCCATTCTAGTGTGCCCCCTCGTAATCAAACCATTTTACATTACGTCACAATGTAAGCGACGTCACGATGCATGTCAGTTGTCATCGCCTCGTACGGCCTCCTACAGTAAACTACACCGTTGCATCCAGTTTCTTGGTTTGCTGTTGCTTCACGCAGCTAACATCACTGGTGGAAACATTACGTTTATGTTTTACGACGTTTAAAATGTGTCATTTCGACTAACAAGTTTTCAGCGACACGGTAACGTTCGTAATGTTTACATTCCCACAATGCAATTGTGGAATGTCGCTTGACTACTCAACTTCCTCTGGATGTACTGATCTCAACTTACGCTGGTAGTAGAAATGCAACGTTCATATTGCCCCATATGGTTTACGTTAATGACAGATGTAATTAAAATAATTCAGAGAAGATATTTAATCCGAACGTAAACCGTCATCAAACTGTTATCATTTGTTTTTCTCTGGTAACGTTCGTCTTAACGTAGGGGGCAGACACATCAATAGAACAGTGCGCCAGTTAGCCCTGTGCGAGGATTCTTAATTTAGGTCACCGACGCAAGCGTCCTCGTGCTTTAACTATAATAGTTCAGGGCAAAAGTGTGTTTTATTACACTATACATGGTGGTAGAGCGAAGTGTATTTCTTAATTAAGTAATGTATCATTAGGGTTTAGTGTTGACATTAGTTAATAAAGGAATGATACAACCGGGTCCTGGCTGTCACATATGCCACATCGACATTTTCTGGTTCTTACAAGCTTCACCTATCTGCTGTCACCTGGGCCCTTGGTGCAGGATTATGACAACTAACACATATACACTGTAACCCTTTCCCTCCTTTTTAATTCTAACTGAGATAGTCTAGTTGTTTTACTGTCCTTTGACGACAGGTTTTACAATATACACGTATTCCATTTCAATGTCAAATTTGTTCTCGTCACGATATGGCTGAAATATTACCGGTGTGACGTTAAATATTTACAACTTCCTCTTACCTGCTGTCACCTAGACCTTTGATGTTCTGGCTGTCACAGCCAAAGACCAACGTGAGACAATAGAGGGCAGTTCCAGTGAACATCACTATGGTCGTGAGCTTCATACATCCCTTGTTAGTCAGTCTGAGTCGGCTGGTGAGAATGCCTCCCAGTAAAGTGCCAAACACTGCCCACAACAGCCCAAGTATACCTTCAACACATACCGATTTGCAGCTGTGAAGTTCAATTAAAAAGAATCAATGGTGTTTTTGTACATTCAAATAATCACGTAATTCTGCTCACATACCCGTACTGCGAAGTCTTTCTTTTGAGCCATCAGATTCACAGAAAAAGAACCCTTCTCAACCAGAATCAATACGTTGGATCCCTTGATTACACTGAACCAGTCTTTTGTTATGTGACAGTACATGTAGAAAATTGTTGTATTTGTGTTTCATTGCTTCTGTTAAGATGAAGAAGAAAGGGCGTAGTGGCGTGCTATACTATATTTAGACTGGGAAACGAGAAGGGTGAGGACATGTCAAGACCTCCCAGGTTATTCTAGTATAGTCTCTGTTGCTGAACATTTAAGTGTTAAAAATACATCAGAAATGGGCTTCGCACATTGTACCCATGAATCGAACCCTATGCTTCAGCGTGACGAGCGGGCGTTTTAACTTATAAGCTTTTTATTGAATATCCCCAGTATTTTCAAAAGTATTTCAGCTTGACATAAGAATCAAGACATAACACTTTGCAATACAGGACAATACAAACTACTACCTGGAGGTATGGCGCAACACTCTAAATAAAACTGTTTCCTCCTCGCTCATGAACATCACGCACCAGCAAAAGGCCTTGTACACATCGCTTTTCTTTTTTTAAAGGTCACGACATCGCTACTTACTCATTATGAAGTTCGCCCTAGATGCTGACGTAGCAAATTGGGTCTCGATGTATTTAGGAGCAAATCCTACATAGCCTCCAACGAAGAACGAAAGACAGACGTTTCCCAACATGAGACTGCCAGCTACTGGGTTCTTCAAGATCCGTAATACCGATCTCGGCATGTCTGTGGGTACAAAGACAAATAAGAGATTAATACAGTGTTTGGAACATTGTAGCTGCCAACTCTCTGTTGAGTATATGGCATGTCCGTGTGTAGATGCATTCAGTAAGTGTCTACCCTCAGTAACTACAGACCTGTGTCAAACCCAACATTCCTTTCTAAAGTGCTTGAAAGGGCTGTGAAGTATAACACCAGTGCTAACCTCCCTACACTGGCCCCGGCCAGTCCAAGCTCGAGTCCAATACAAGATACTTACTTTGACATATAAGTGTGTCAATCAAACTGCTGCTACCTATCTGACACAATTCGAGGAGAAATATAAACATTCTAAGATCTGCTGATCAGTTACTTCTTAAAGTACCCAAAACCAGCCTAAAAAAAACATGGACAGAGATCATTTGCTTACATGGCCCCAACTCTGTAGAACGATCTTCCCTTGGGAATAAAGAAATCCCAATCATTGTCAATCTTTCGAGGCTGCCTAAAGACATATCTTTTCCAAAAGTTCTATAAAGATTAAATTACCAGTGAAAACGCAGCATCTCTACTGCAGTGTATTTCAATTTTGTGTAGCGCTATGAGCATGCACTAAGTCCCTGGAGTTGGCGCATTACAAAACTAATATAATATTATTATTATTGGTAGATGTGTAAAGATGATGGTTGAGAGGCATCTTTTAGTGTATAACATGCAGCGAATATCGAAGTGCCAGCATTAGACGTTGTAGGGTGATTGACATGAATGAGCTGAACAATGTAACATCATCACACATATTGTACTAAGGAAGACACTGCCACATCGCCATAATGTCCTTCAATTTAATTATCATAGACCTAGGATTCCATTTTATCACCATTTGTGCCTTGCATGAAGTCGATCTGTCCGGGTCATATTTGTCAGTTCTGTCATGTTGCAAGTTACTGTACCAGATGTCTTGTTTTTTCGTATAGCATAGGTAAATCGGTGACTTACCCACTATATCGTCTTTCAGTGATTTCGTTGTGGCAGTGGCTTCGATTGAGGGTTTCTTTATGTGCCTCGGAAAGCAGCCAAGGGGTACAGCAATAAAGAGGGCTGCACATCCAAAGACCAGGTACCCGATCCACCATGCACCTATCCACTCTGGATGAAGGCTATCTAAATGGGACTCTTGAAATAAAAATAAAACAGTGGCATATATTTCGTATGAAACTCCGATTGCATGGCGAAATTACCGAGGGCGTGTAATATACTATAACAGTGAATACGCTTGGTTAACTTAGATAATAATTAGGAAGTGTGAAGATCATATATCCAATTCCTTTGTCAATTTGAGCGCAAAACCTACCGCTGAGATCAACTGGAATGTCGCTAAAGAAGCCGCCAAGACTGAGGGCAAGAAATGGTCCAAGGAACGCCATAGTCATAAGGATACCTGCAAGATCATGAACACAGATACAATAGAATCAATAGCTTACCTGTATCTAAACAGCATCATCTGCATGTATCACTTCCTCCACACGCACTTCTCTTTGACATTCAATAATTTCCTTTCACTCACTGCATACTCCACATGCCCAATGTTTATAGTAAGGACTCTACTTCCTGGAAATGCAGTTTTTCAAATGCATGCACTACACGCACTTACGCTCCACACGTACTAGTTTCTCTACATGCACTACTCTGGACACACTGTTCCCACCATTTCCTCTTCCTCTGCACGCACCAACTTCTCACGTACGTTACGCACTACATGCCTATGCACTACAGCTTCTACCACCACGAGAGCGCAACTATTTCCAGATGCATTACGTACCCTATACGAACTTCGTCTTGCACATTCTCTACTTCGTCTTATAAGCAAACTCCATATCATAGCGGTGCACATTACCAAAAAGTATTGATATTTATTTTCAATGAATAGCGCTCAATGTATCGTGGTCATAATGTTGTATGTAGTCACGCATGTATGTAAAACATCTTTCTTGACAACATATATCCTGATATTGCTTTGTTCGTCGGTTAGTTTGACCTATTATTTACATCTGTCGAGCAGTTAATACCTCTAATTGAACAGTCTGTTTCTAGTTATGGCGTGAGATTCAGCCTGGACATGAAAACTTGCCTCCCTTTTCTCCTTTCACAAAAGTTTGAATGATGATGGAACAGTCTCAGGACAAGTCTTATGGTTTTACCACGACCAAAAATTCTTACTCTTCTATAATTTCATATTGAATTTAAAATGTTTCCCCTCAGACCTCCTTTTTACCACGTGTACGACTTGCAAACCTACCTGTCAGTAAGCTTGACTGCTGCTTATCACGGGAGTTATTGTCAACGTACGGTAGACCCAGGGAAGACCGTGCAGATTTAGCCAACCCAAGTATCACCATAAGCACGGCAAACACGTTGAACTGCCAATGACTGCTGTCCGTCGCCTGGTTCTTGATATCTGAACATTGCTCATCTTCTTGCACGGAATCCTGACATAGCCTGGCACTTTGTGGAGAGGAATAGTTGGAGGCTTGGTCCTCTAATCGGGGAAGGGATACAGGATTTATGAAGTGTAACAGACCGAAAATTAAACTAGCAATACCATAGACAACCGATGCACAGGACAGGATCCTAGGTATAAAACGTCTACCCCCAAAATGGCTGAAGAAGAAAATAGCTACGAGATAGCCGATTTCGTTGCAGCTTAGGAGGAGACCACTTCTTGTACTGCTGAGCCCAAATTGCTTTTCTAGAGCTGTGATCTGAGACACTGTATACAACTTAACTGACTCCATCACCATTGACGACACACTGAATACGGCAGTGAAGCAGAGGATGTTGTGGAAACATCGACGTCCTCCAGACTCAACAGTCGTGTCCATATTCATATCGTTCTTCCCCATTATTAATGCCTGGAATGTCAAAGGAGATATGAGTGTGTTGTTAAAAAAAAATGAAAAACATTATACTATGTATTCTGAACAGGTCTGAAAAACGTCAACGTACAACCAGTTAGGGTGTGATCAGTAACTGTATCCCATTGCTTCGTACGCCGAGAATAGAACAAACAACGAAACATGGTGTCACAAGCAGTAAGGAGTTTTCTCTGCTGTCACGTGTGTATTGCTTGAGTGTGTGTCACCTATTTTCGCAACAACTTGCTACACTAACTGAGATGTTCGTACAATATGTATATCGTGGCAGCTTATATGTTTGGAGCATTTTGGCTACATAAACTACTGATGATGACTATAAATGAACTTTCTCTGAACTAATCACTGAAAATTATCTGTAAAAAATGACTTTTGACAGTGAGTTCGTTATACCCGCAAACTTACTACGGTAAACCGTCGAAGCCAAAACACGTTTGTGTGCATTGGTAGACACCAGCTTACAATTAAACATGACTTAAGATGATATATAACGAGTGCAGCAACCTCATTCCATTCATGTTCCTAACACAATTCCCCTTCCACCAAAACTAGACTTGAAAGGTGATTTTAACAGAAATTTCAGAAAATTACAAAACAGAACTCTTGTGACAATAGGCAAAGTACGGAAGCGTAGTAGGGCCACGGTGAAGAGTTTTTGGGTCTTACTATCTCCTACGTAGTACTTAGTATCTCCTACGTAGGACTTAGTATCTCCTACGTAGAACTTAATATCTCCTACGTAGGGCTTACGTAGGAGATATTAAGTCCTACGTAGGAGATATTAAGTCCTACGTAGGAGATACTAAGTCCTACGTAGGAGATACTAAGTCCTACGTAGGAGATATTAAGTCCTACGTAGGAGATAGTGACCCCCCAAAAATGTTAAACCGTGGCCCAACTACGCTTCTGTAGCGAAGTGATCAAACACGTTGAAATTGGTGGATGTATTTTCTTAGTTTTATGCCGTTTACAATAAGTACTTAAACTAGTACTATTGTGTCATCTCATCGTTCTCAAAATAGCAGATGTAACGTAATCTGTAAATTAATGCTCCCAACACTGAAGCAATGATGCTCCCTCGCATGTAACATGGCGCCAAAGGCTTGAGAAGTGAACTCGCCACTCTCGACATTGTCTCCCGTTGCTCCTTCCAAGTGAGAGGGTGAATTGGGTTTTACGCCGCTTTTAGCAGTATTACAGCAATATCATGGTGGGGACATCAGAAATGGGCTTCACACATTGTATCCATGCGGGGAATCGAACAGGGGCCTTTGGCGTGACGAGTGAATGCTTTAACCACCAGGCTACCTACCTACCTCCCCACCTTCCTAGGACGCCGATAGATACAACATACAACGTAACAATAACGTCATAAAGGTAAGGCTGCAGTAGGATCATATACTGGGGTAAATACTAAAAAAAATGCCATAGATTGTTATTACTGTACCCCGATACACTGTAAAATCACAATGGCAATTCGTTATAAAATATTATTTATTTGCTACTCAGCAAGGAAAGTTAAAATGTGCGACGTTACTTTTTCCGAAACCATAGCCAAAACTTGATCACTATTTACTTTAAAACTGCTGTAACTTGTAACAACAACTGCGATAGATTCTAAGAGCATCTCTCAGGCCTTCAGATTCAGAGGATTTAGAATTGAAGTTTCTTTGACTTTCCCGTATTCAATTCCGACCACCAATACAGAAAGAAAAATGAGTAAATGTTTCTTTTTCAATTACCTTCATTTACAAAAATTTATCAAACGGCAGAAAATTGTAATTCCTTTAGCTTTCAAAACAAATTTGAATTTCAGTTAAAATGTATCACTTCGCCATGGTCAAATACGACCAGTATTATCTTACAAAAACGAGTAAATTGTTTCGAGACAAACGTGTTATATAAGCCGCGGCAATTTGAAATAAACGGTAACTGTAGAAATAACTACGGTGCAATTGTAATAAATTGTTTAATTCCTACAGATTCTTTAGAAATTAGAGTTTCCGTGATTGATAGACTTCGCATTGGTCAATTCCCCATCACCGCCGTGTTACAACAAACAACTAAAAAAGCCGAACAACATTTTGATTTAGTTTGTATCATTCACAATGAGGGGCAGGTGCGGTAAATTATAATTTAAAGACGCGGCAAATTGCTAAAAGCTCAGTCCTTCAGATTTTATTTTTTTTCTGAATTTTTTCGAAATTCCTATAATTCATACCGAAAAACATAATTCATCTTTGCCAGTATACTGGGACTCTCTATTATCGCGGGCTCTCTATTTTCGCGTCACGCGAAAACATCGGGAAAGCAGAAACACCACGCCCCGCATCGGCTGTTTACATATGCAAATTACGTAAAATATATTCATCGCTCTTGAAAAAGTCATTTATTTCATTGGAATGTTATGTGTAATCGGAAAAATATTAAAGCATTAATCTTTTCAGTAAGTTCTAGAACATTTTGAAACTAGTATGACCCCTACTGCCCTTACATCTAGCATGAATCAAATCTTACTTCATCAAGAGCAATCCTGCGACAACTTTAAGGTCATTTGCATATTTTCCGTGCTAAAAATATAACAGGAAGTGACGTATTATGCAACTTCACTCTGCACACGGCAGCGACTTGTATGGTACGTTTTAAGCCGGAAAAACAATATTTTGTAACGTTATTGTTACCTTGTTTCCAAATGAATAGAAGTTTCTGATGTTTGGGTTAAAAGCATGATGATATTACTAATGTGAATGAAATTCCTAAATATTTTTTAATGATCAAACTATTTAGATTCGTTACTTGTCTTAGTAAACGTTTCACAGTGTCATCTGCTTGTACCGCGTGCCATAGTAAGAAAATCGCAATACCGCGATAATAGAGAGTTGCTTCAGTTACCGGGTCAAACGAGACAGTCGGAATTGCCGCAATGGTATTAAACGAGTTGCGACCATGTGTCACATTATTTGTGACAGAAATGAAGATTAAACATCAGTCAACTGAAAATATATATAAAATGCTAAATGTCAGTAGCCGTTCATAATCCCGATGGCGACAACATTAACTACCGCGATAATAGAGGGTCCCATGATATATTTTACAGCGATATTGCTATGTTCTGGTCGATATCTTCACATGCAGGTCACACCTTCATATTTCACGTACATTATGCCTACCCGCCGTACTATAATGCATGTGCGTGGCATAATCATCGGAACTACGAAATGTTTCATCTTCTCCCATTTCTCATGACGGAAATGCGTTCAACCCCAAATGTAATAACTACAAAATGCCGCTTTTAATCCGTTATACAGATGTCCAATGGTAGGATCAGTCATGGGTTGTAACATTTGGCTTCTGGATATCATTCATGTGAGTGAGTTAAAATGTTACGTCACATCGGCAATATTTCAGCCATATAGCGATGAAAAAATGTTAAGTTAAACATATGAAAGGTCTTTCACAAGGGACAGTAAACATTAGCAGGATATCACAATTTTAAGTATAAAAAACTATCCATTTCAAGCATCACAACATTCTATTCAACTCAAAGATTACATTTTACTTTTAATACCATTCAAATGCAGGCTATGGGTCACCGGAAAGCAAAGCTGGACCACCTTACTTGGGATCATGGACACCTACAGTACTGCGGCTTCCTGCATAAGTCATTCATGTGAGAAGCTGTTCATTTTGCACGTGTTTTCTTGTTACATTATGAAATTAATCATAAATAAATCTAGCAATTTGAAAGACACAATTGATCCAGTTGGTTTTTGAAGTATAGATGTGCGTGTGACATTATAATTGTAAAGAACATAGTATTCACTATCTTCAATAAATTTCGGCAAATAACATATATCAAGCATAACTTTGTAACAGATCCACGTGTAATCTTTATTTCACCGGACATTTTCCCGGAATGACCATCGCGTGTCAGAATCAAATGTGCAAAAAGAACATGAGTGAGTGAGTGAGTTACAATTTAAAGTCACACAGGCCGTATTTGACTGTGATATACACACAGTCAAGACAGGTAAAAATAAGTAGACTGTCACGGATGCAAACTTAAAACTAGCATGTAATCATAAAACAATATTTCTACAGAACAACACAATCTAAAAATGGACTTTCTCCTACATAACACTGTTACACTCAGTAACAACAAAACACATTCATGATCAACATTGGGACACGCTGCTAGGTGTGCACGGCCGAGTTTATTTCCATGTCACATTCAAATTCAGTTTACACTGACAAATATTTCACCCAGACTAGGTACAATACATGTTAAACTTAGCAGTCCGTTGCTGAAGCCCGACACGTAAAACCAGAGATAAACCTTCATGAAGAAAAACTCGGGAACCGTGTTCCCTCAACGTTTGCAACAACAACCTGTACTGGAGGGTCTACAGCAGACTATGTTCACCTTAGATATAAGGTACCTTACATGTGTTGGAATAAACCTTACAAAACATTCATATTTTGATAATGTAAATAAACAGGACAATGTGATATCATCACCATTACTTATAAATAGAGTCCGTGTTTAATAAATACTCCTCTCTGTTACAGCAGTATAATGACTCTTCAACCAACAGTAAAACACCAATCTTTAAAGTAACTGTATTATAATGGCTCTTCAGCCTCAAAGGGATATACAAATAGAGATGAATATATCGGTCATTATATCTGACGTCAGTTATTATAAAGGCTCTTCAGCCAGCAACATATATAAAACACCATACGCTTAGATGCATGAATAGAAGTATTATAACGGCTCTTCAGCCTAACAATATATACAAACATTGTATTTGCTTCATTTCAATATATGAATAGAAGTATTACGACGGCTCTTCGGCCAACGAATAGACACATATATTGTAATTCCTCCATTTCAGTATATGAATAGAAGTATTATAACGGCTCTTCAGCCTAACATATATACAAATATATTGTAACTCCGTCATTTCAAATTATGAATAGAGGTATTATAACGGCTCCTCAGCCCAACAATTCTACACTACATCAATGTACAAATCAGTTCATTCCAATATACAAACTTGTGAGTATTATCATGGCTCTCCAGCCGGGATGCAGCCATATAACATGCACACCTAATATGTCTCCTGACAGTAACCAACACCTGCAACATATGAACATAGTTTCATTATGAATACATAACTATTGGGAAATAAAAAAAAATAAAAATAAAATATATCTTTACAGTAAGCTTTACGTTAGAGTCCATCATAAAGCGGCCGTGGTGTACTTTCAGCGAGAATGACCAATTCAAATTGAGTAACCCTTATATATCCTTAACAGCGCCACCCCACGGGGCAAGTAACTCTCGTTACACACCGCTAGGAGAAAACAATTTCCTACTAATTCATCCTTCAAACGTAGGAAATATAATTTCTCCTACATAACACTGTTACACTCAGTAACAACAAAACACATTCATGATCAACATTGGGACACGCTGCTAGGTGTGCACGGCGAGATTACAAAGAAAGTCAGAGACCGAGCGACAGAGACACCTTGATCCTGTTTTCCAGTTTATCTTTAACATAACCGTCCTTAGCCTTTTCACTGCGCCATCGACCATGGCGTTTGAACATACGATCTGGTATACCGTTATTAGCTGCAGCAGTAGCGCCTCCACTACGAAGACTGTGCGAACCATACCGTTTAATGTCACTAACAAACGGTGTCAAAGCCTCCAAAAATATGTCTCGCAACCTAGTATAAGACATAGGTTTGTTGCTTCTCCTCAGCTCATACTGTCCCGCATACTTTGTAACATTTCTAAAGATGTACACATCTGACTGAGGATTAATTGAAGCAGCCTGTAAATACCTCTCCAAACATTCAACCGGACAAAGTTTTGTACCTGTTCTCCCAATCACAAGCCAAGCACCATCTCGGTAAACATCAGTTTTGGACTTTTCAATAAACAATAACATATGAGAATTGTAAAACACAATATCTGAACGTGTTATATTTAGTAGTTCCTCGGATCTCAGGAATCCTGCGTAAGCTAGTAAACACATACTTATTGTCCGTAAATTGTACAAAGATGGATCTACAATTTTTGAATCGAATAAAGAATTCAAAATTTCAACAGTTACCGGCTCTTTTTTCACAACTGACCTAGCTAACTTCCTCTTAGCTGCCTCCAAAACATTTTTCACTAGCATACTGTCTGTCGGACTTACCAGCCCAATAACCGTATGAGCATGCCTTAAGCTATAAAAAGCATTTACAACTGGCGAAATAGATTCACTTCGCTGCACAATCGACAACAGGTATATGGCACAATGCAACGGTGCAATAGGCAATACATCAGGCATGCTACTACTCTTCGCCCACCTTTTCCATGCAGCATAACCATAACGGTACTTGCTCACAGTTGACTGAGCTCTGGACTGACACAACAGGTCCGGTAACCCAGCAGCAAGTTCAGCCACCTCATCAGGCAAAGACGACAGATCACTCTGGTAAGCATCATGAAATGCATCTGCAAAACACAATTATACAGAATCAACGAAAATCAATCAACAGTGCAATCATATTAAAATGCAAATCTTGTTCACCAAATAATCCTCCCTTAATCCTGCTGGGTACATATGATTCTTTCAACGTAGGTAGATACACGTAAGACTTAACCTCAGGCATGAAGACAGCATTTTTCCAAAGTAAAGGCCAAAAACAAGCCGATTTCCACTCTGGAACGACTAAAGTTCCCACTGCATGACATTCCGCCATGTGTTTCAAAACTCGAGGTATAAGACAAATCGGGGGTACTATCCAACTCATGGTCTCTCTCCATGTGACTGTGAATGCATCTACAGCAGCACATCCTGGGTTACTGTAGCGGGAGTTAAACTGTTCCAGCTTAGCATTATAGTAAGATGCAAACCTATCCACATGATGTGGACCCCATAACTTGTCAATACTCCCGAACACAACGCTTGCAATACCCCAGTCATCATAGTCCACAAGTCGACTGAGGTAATCTGCCTGCAAATTACCATTACGAGGAAGCCACTGAATACTCAGATCTATATTATGCTTAAGACATACGTCAAAGATGTCCATAGCTATGGACTGCAAGTGAGATTTCATGCTGCCTTTGTCTACAATGCTGACGACATTTTGATTGTCTGTAAACCATTTAACCTTACGGCGATCGAGAGAAGAAACCAAACTCACGAGCACCATATACACCGCCTTCAGTTCTCTCCAAGTAGAACTCTGTCTTGCTTCTTCCTGATTCCACTGCCCATGGGAAATTACACAATCAACGTCAACACTGAATCCACCAAAACCACTGTCACTGGCGTCTGAGTAAACAATCCTCTTAACCAAGCTCGTCTCAATAAGAGATCTAGACACATATATATCTATTTTGTTCAGCCAAAATTTCAGCTGGGCAACACTTCCAGGAGATAAAGAGATCTTATTCTCCCAAGACCACGTTTTAGCTACATCGATACTCAACGACCTAGTCATTAGCTGAGCTACTGGTCCGATAACTGGTTTCATAGATACTACCTGACCCACCACACTCGCAACAGATCTCACAGCAATACGTCTAGGATGCAGCCTTAATATATGCAAGATAGTATGTTTCAACTTATCTATCTTCCTCTGAGGAATGCTCATAGTTAAACACGTAGTGTCCAGTCCAAACCCTAACCATTCAATGGATTGAGATGGATGCCAGAGTGACTTCTCTACTTTGGGGACAAACCCTGAAGATACGAGATCGGTTTTAATGACTGCACCTTGTGATAAAGCTAAATCCTCTGAAGCACCGGACATAATTCCATCGTCCAAAAACGTAACAATTTTGTGTCCATCAGCACGCCACTTCTTCACTAGCTGACGTGTAACCTTAGTGAATACGTAAGGAGCTGAAGTCAGACCAAACGGTAAAACTAAGAATTTGTAATAGCATATATCACCACCAGTATCACGCCATGCAAATCCAAGATAATCAGTATGAGGGTAGAATATATCGATGTGGTGGTATGCAGAATGTATGTCAAATTTGATTAACCAATCACCCTTGCTCACATATGTTAAGAATGTGGTCCAATCCTCGTACTTCACGCTAGACTTGTAAACAAACTTGTTAACCCGGGAGAGATCAAGGATCAATCGTTTCTTCCCTGAAGACTGTATGGACACAGACAGTGGACTGACTACTCTGGGGGGCCGTAACACACTTGCTGATGAGATTTTTCTTGAGAAGCTCGTCAATAGCCTTTGTAACAAAAGTAGAATGCGTAAGGGCTGATTTATTGTTTTCCAAAAAACATATGAGGCGGTTTGAATACAAATGGAATGTTATAACCATTTGATATAATGTCAAGAACAAATTCAGATGCACCAATATCTCTCCAAAACTGAATGTTCGTTTTGAGACGACCCCTAACTCTGATTTCAGAAGTACCTTGCTCATATTCAAAGTAATCGTCCGTTAAGTTAGAATCAACAGAATGACATAAATACTTAACTGCCAAGTCCTTGTCTACTGCTTTACTGGGTTGTGGTTGAACTCCCAACTCCACCTGCCGACGTGGCTCCAGCTCCGCTGGCGGTGTATGGACAGTCTCTTCTAAAGTGTGTAAATTCTCCACACGCAAAACATGCTCCGCTTCTCTGGCTTCTGCCACGAAAAAGATGTGAGGACGTGGACTGGACAGGATGCACAGAAGAAGCAGAATGAGCACTAGAAGCAGGCTGCACGGGCCGGAGAAACGTAGACGATCTTCGTAAGGACCTACTGGCCGAGTAAGGAGCTTGCCTAGCACGCTTTTGTCTGAGTTTCTTGACGGCTTTATTGTCTGCGCGCATGATTTTCTTATCATCGTCAGAATCGTCTGCCAACTCATTGCTGACGTACTGCCGGACGGTTTCCCAACCCCCGTCTGAAGAATCCGCTATCTTAATAAGTTTATTTCTTCTCGTCAACCTGTCGAGCTCTTCAGACAGTAACGTCTCAGCGTCTTCCAAACGTGAAGAACTCAACGCAGTGAGCACCTTTTTTAAGAGATGTAATGGATTCTTCGTTGAAGTTATACTGAATTTTATTGCCCTCACGAGACCAGGCATAGTCTTTTTCAGCTTTCAGCTTCTTAAGATCAAGTGTAGTTTGAACGAATTCATCTCTTAATGCGCCAATCTTACTATCAATGGAGGACTGTAGCGCTTCTTGTTGTTTCAAGATGGCGTCAAGTTTAGCATAAGCTTCCATCATAAAGCGGCCATGGTGTACTTTCAGCGAGAATGACCAATTCAAATTGAGTAACCCTTATATATCCTTAACAGCGCCACCCCACGGGGCAAGTAACTCTCGTTACACACTGTAGGAGAAAACAATTTCCTACTAATTCATCCATCAAACGTAGGAAATATAATGAAGATCGCCAACAACAGAAGGTATATCACCATACTAGGGACCATGGAGCAAAGGTTTCGTACCATTATATTTGAAAAACAACATATTATAAAGAGTGAGTGAGTCTATTTTTACACCGCACTCAGCAATATTCCAGCTATATGGCGGTGGTCTGTAAATAATCCCGTTACTCGCCTCTTACGACAAGAATGGATTACTGAAGATCAAATCTAACCCGGATCTTCACTGGTTCAACAGATTATAATTACCATGTTGGACACAAGCCATCTGCTTATAATGGACCTGACACGTTATTGTTTACGGTGATAATACATAGTGTTACACATGCACAGAAAATATACAATTTGAGGAAGAAACTTGAGACATGTGTACTTTCCACTATTTCCTTGAGAACTGTTCAATTATAGGTGATGGCTACCACCGACACCCGTCTAGACTACGTTGCTTCATGCAAGTGTCAGGACATATCTATTTTGATATCGATTTTTGCATGATAATAGGTCAGTGAATTCTAGGTCAAATGCTGCAGTGTTATCTGTGTGCCTGACTATAGTATTCTCTAACACCAGTGCATCGATACATAGTTCAGCACACATATAGTTCAATCATTTTACTTTGAATTCAGGAGAAATTGTACTGAAACGGCTGATCATTTTTTTTCAGTTATAATAACAACACGTACAGAACCGTATGTATTAAATTTTGGTTTTGCTTTTATTCAAGGCATACTGTTCATCAGCTTTGCATTTCCATAGATTGTTCAATTTTTAGCAGCTGAAAGCAAGTTTGAATTTAATTAGAGGTCTCATTGCGGAAACAAACACAATGGGTATTGTAAATGGTGACAATATTTTTTAATTACAGTTATTTTCAATCACTTTTTGCTTAAACGTTATGGCTACTTCAGAAATGCTTTCCTGAAAATGCATTATTGGAATTTTAACAACTGAAGATATGTATGAATATAATTTGGACAAAAAGCCCCAAGATATAATCTTCATGGGTGTCACAATAGAAAAATCGGTACATTGTTACATTTTCATATCTTGCGAATGGTATTTATAGTAGAATCTCGGTATAAGCTCACTCTGGAGTTACCACACCATGTACATCCCGCGAAAGACAAAATTGGCATGATGTTCAAATCATATTTATGACTTAATTTCAGATAAATTAATAGTTTCGCCGCTGTCTCGAAACAGCTTCAATAATGCTTACCTTCTTTGAAAGTAACAATGGGCGTTGTTGCCGTGAGGTATATACTGCAATATTTATGAACAATAAGAAAACTTCTAACCAGGCGTTCATGTATTTTTTCTGCAGTAAAGACATGAAGTGTCGACTATATTAGCTCAATTACTGGATACCACTACCATGCAGTCCTCGCCTGGGTTAGATATTGTAGCACCAGTATATCTATGGAACCAGGCTGCTGCACCTGCAACACCAAAACCCTTTCACGAGAACGGAAATCTTTAAGTTATTTTTGCCATTTTCTTCTTTCATTCTGTCCTACACCTTAAAGTCTTCTCAGTAGTAGAATTTTGAAAGCAGATACATTGTCCAGTTTGACTGGTGATGAACCAAAGGACATTGTTTGTTTAAATCTTCAGTGGTCCTTTGACTTTGGTGACCAAACTTTAACTGGAAGTGCTACAGATGCCTGAATTTACGTTTTCACTCTAAACACTAAGAAGTGTATCTAACCATTCCTCAGTTTCAAAACAGTTTTCTTCTGACCATATCCCTCTAATGCATCTTGTAACTAAGGGTGATAAACGCTAAATTAGACCTGTCTGCATACTAATTCGTAAACGTAAGGAACCTGCTAAAGCGGTAGAGATATGGATTTCGACCAATGATCAGACTGTGCTAATCTTGCTAAGCAATCCATCCAAACCAATCAATTGAAGTCTCACCAGTGGGTGGTACAGTACTTTTCCTTCAACAAATTACTTCTTTTAGTGAGTGAGTGAGTTTAGTTTTACGCCGCACTCAGCAATATTCCAGCTATATGGCGGCGGTCTGTAAATAATCGAGTCTGGACCAGACAATCCAGTGATCAACAACCTGAGCATCGATCTGCGCAATAGGGAACCAATGACATGTGTCAACCAAGTCAGCGAGCCTGACCACTCGATCCCGGTAGTCGCCTCTTACGACAAGCATAGTCGCCTTTTGTGGCAAGCATGGGTTGCTCTCAAACTTAGTTCAGGCAATAGTGACTCTACGGAAGGGTTCTACAAATGCCCTATTGGCTCAAAGAGAACTATGTACTCTTCCGGCTTTGTTTTTCTTACATCTAATATGCATGTCAAGGCTTTTAAAACTGCGAACCATCCTGACACAAACTGGTCCTTACGAATGAGCTGAAATCGTACATTTTCTAACCCAAATAACGGTATCTCTGGAATTACTACCCGGTGAAAACTTTTCAATCATCTTCATCAGACATGTCTAGACGTTTCCATTCCCTCACCAAAACACCATCTTGGTAGCAGAAACAAACAAGTATGTTGGCGTAGTCCGTACTAATTAATTAACAACCCACATTAACATTAACGAGTCTCAACGATTGAAGGTCTGAAAGAATATGCAAATGATAATTTAGTTAGCCTTCATTCATGAAACAATATGAAACCGGTGAAAAGACCTGAACTTAAGACCTGAATTGCATAGGCACAAGCAATTGTCGCGGCGCAAAAGAGAAGTCGTGATGAAGTTTCTGAAATAGCAAACGGATATTCGACATCGTGAGAGAGCTTGTACTACTTCTTGGTGAAGTCAGGGCCGGAGTGCTTCCTGGCTCCTTTGGCCTCAACCACTAGAATCCCTTCCTCCACCGGTACAGGGCCGCAGCCACGGCAAACACG